ATTGCGAGTTGGAAAAGGGTGCTTAGATTCTCGCCCTTTAAATACCAATTTGATATTTATAAATCTCTCCGTGTGAGTTTTTCCTGAAGGGTAGGGTGTCAGGGAATGGCACAGCAGGTATCCTCATGAAGTCAGAGATGCTGACACAAATTTGTCATGTTTATGTAAATAAATATATTTTACGTCTATATCTACAGCAAACAGGGAGCATCATGAGGTAAATCACAGAGCAGACAGGACAGACAGAAGAAAAAGGCGGGAAAAAATGGAAACTCCCTCTCCATAGCCACAGTAACCAATCACGGCGCAGATTGCCTCATGCAGGAGTGGAACTCTCCAACCAATCAACGATAAATGTGTGTTCTAGCTCATTTTACAACCTTTCACTGTTCCAGCTATTAAATTTAAATATCTTAACATAGCGTAATAATAACAATAATAATAATAATAATAATAATAATAATAATAATAATAATAAGAAGAAGAAGAAGAAGAAGAAGAAGAAGAGGAAGAGGAGGAAGAGGAAGAGGAAGAGGAAGAGGAAGAGGAGGAGGAGGAGGAGGAGGAGGTGGAGGAGGAGGAGGAGGAGAAGAAGAAGAAGAAGAAGAAGAAGAAGAAGAAGAAGAAGAAGAAGAAGAAGAAGAAGAATAAGAAGAAGAAGAAGAAGAAGAAGTAGAAGAAGAAGAAGAAGAAGAAGAAGAAGAAGAAGAAGAAGAAGAAGAAGAAGAAGAAGAAGAAGAAGAAGAAGTTGGAAGGGACCTTGGAGGTCATCTAGTCCAACCCCCTGTTCAGGCAGGAAACCCTATGCCATTTCAGACAAATGGCTGTCCAGTCTCTTCTTAAAAACTTCCAGTGTTGGAGCTTTCACAGCTTCTGGAGGCAGGTTGTTCCACTGATTAATTGTTCTAATTGTCAGGAAATTTCTCCTTAGTTCTAGGTTGCTTCTCTCCTTGGTTAGTTTCCATCTGTTGCTTCTTGTCCTGCCTTCAGGGGCTTTGGAGAACAGCTTGACTCCCTCTTCTTTGGGGCAGCTCCTGAGATATTGGAACACTGCTATCATGTCACCCCTTGTCCTTCTCTTTGTTAAACTAGTATTCATAGAATCGTAGGATGTAAGGATTGGAAATGGCCTCATAGATCATCTCAGTCAACCTGTTGGCTGTTGGAAGAAACTATTACAAAAGAAATGGAATATTAATGGATAGAAGAGAATACTTTTGTCTCAGGATTGAACCGTAGGGTCCTTGGTGTTCTCTGAGCTTGGTGGTTTTCTTGCAGACATTTCATTACCAAATGCTAGAGCACGGATCATGTTATCAAGTTGGGTAATGAAACGTCAGCAAGAAAATAGCCAACCACAAGAGGACACTAAGGATTCTTCACTGCTTAAAACGGTGTGCAATCAGTTTTAGCTACATTAAAAAAAAAAAATACAACAGAGAATTTGCATTTGTGCAAGACCACATTAAGGAAATTTATGTAAAAAAAATGAAAGCAGGGCAATTTTCACTTTAAAAAAATTCTCAAACAATTTATATTCATATAACTGTATGTTATTAAGTAAAATGCACAAATGCCTAAGCTATGAGCTGCTGCAAGCATAAATCATTAGGAAGGGTTTTTTTTAGTACAGTAGAAATAAATTTACCCCAATCTGCTCAGCAAAAAAACAACAACCCTACCCTGTGTTTTATTAATGCATAGCAAATTAGTAGGAAGTTTCATGTTTTACATAGCTGTTTGTCTAAGTTCTTTACTTGATATGAAGATAATAATTTCGTCATACAGAATTTCTGGCGACTATCAAGCAGAATAACCTTAATGGCCACTCTTGAGTTGAGAATGGCCAAAACCGAACAAAAAATGAAAACATGTGGCTATCAAATAGTTACAGCACTGAAAAAAGTGATGTCAACGCTGCTAACATTGGATGTTTTGCATTGACAACAGATGGAACTGTAGCCATCTATTCCCCTTCCGCTTTTAGAGTTAGATGATGCTGTGAATGAGAGTCTAGCTAGACGTAACAACACTAAACTTAGTGTGAGAATCAAGGTTATTGAGCCCAGAGCTGATAAAGAATTGGCTGATAAAGAATTCCCACTGAAGTGATACCTATTTATCTACTCGTATTTGCAAGCTTTCAAACTGTTAGGTTGCAGGAACTGGAGCAAGGGACGGGAACTCACCCTGTTGCATGGCACTTGAATCTTGAACCCAGATTGTTAGCTTTCCAGCTGGCAAACATCTTTAACTGCCGAGCCATTGTACCCCCATGCTATTTTATATTAAGTCACTACTAAGTAAATACAGTACATAATGCTGAGTTCCGCAAATGTTTGGTTAACTGATTTGATAAAATAGGATCGCTAATAAAATACCTGAATAATAATTCTGCCCTATAAAATTTTAATACACTTTAAAAAATTAAAATGCAGGCATATTTTAAATTATAGCCTATTGATTAATGAGTCACTTTACTGAATTTTTTTATTGATACTAACTATCGACAGGGAGATTTTTATTAGTGAATTGTTTAAACACTTAATTTTTTTTTCCTGGCACATTATAAATTCTAGAATCCCAGCATGAATAAACATACGAGGGGGGACATGATAGCAGTGTTCCAATATCTCAGGGGTTGCCACAAAGAAGAGGGAGTCAAGCTATTCTCCATGGCGCCTGAAGGCAGAACAAGAAGCAACAGATGGAAACTAATCAAGGAGAGAAGCAACCTAGAACTAAGGAGAAACTTCCTGACAGTTAGAACAATTAACCAGTGGAACAACCTGCCTCCAGACGCTGTGAATGCTCCAACACTGGAAGTTTATAAGAAGAGACTGGATAGCCATTTGTCTGAAATGGTACAGGGTTTCCTGCCTGAGCTGGGGGTTGGACTAGATGACTTCCAAGGTCCCTTCCGACTTTATTGTTATTGTTATTATATATTTTTATTTATAAGAAGTCATTTTACTACTAGTCCAAAGAAAGTGTTAAGATTTGTTCTCCTAAAATAAGCAAATCTTGTATTCACATATTATACCTTCTTTTCACTATGCAGTGACACCTACTGATGTTTAATATATTGCAGTTTTGTTCTTCCACTAAACTCCTTCAGACTTGAATGTTTTGAACAGCACCATAGAGTTCACAAATGTAATTATATGTATGTGGCTTTTAATGAAAGTGATAGTAATGAAACTTCTGCTTTTGACTTGCGACACAATCCGGAGAGTAAAACATTAAAATGAGTCAGATCTCAGGGGAATTGAACGCAGCACCCCTCCGTATAACATGAAACCATCCACAAAAGGAACTCAGGTCAGCTAAGAGAAGAAGAGCGCTCTAGAGTCTAAACATGTGCAAAGTGCATTCCAATAAAGGAGAATATTTGCAGCTTAGGGTTGAAGTTGAAGTGCTCTCTGATTTTGGTTGTTTTCTTGCAGAAATTTCATTACTCAAACTGGGTAACATCCAAGTGTATTCCTCACTCCTGTGTCATTGTAACCAGTCCTTCTCTATCTGAAATTAAACAAGCTGACATTAGTAAAGTCACATCTAAAGAGGTTCCTCACTGCCTTCATCCCTCCCTCCCTCCCTCCAACTATCCTCTCTTTCTTTCTTTCTTTCTTTCTTTCTTTCTTTCTTTCTTTCTTTCTTTCTTTCTTCCTTCCTTCCTTCCTTCCTTCCTTCCTTCCTTCCTTTCTTTCTTTCTTTCTTTCTTTCTTCTCTCCTTCCCTCCCTCCATCCAACCATTCTTCTCTCCTTCCCTCCACCTATCAATCTGTACATCCATTCCTCACTGCCTTCATCCCTCCCTCTTCTAACCATCCTCTCCTTCCTTCTTTCGCTCCTTCTCTCCTTCCTTCCTTCTATCAATCCATCTATCTATTCCTCTGCCTTCATCCCTCCCTCCGACCATCTTCTCCCTTCTTTCACTCCTTCCTTCCCTCCCTCCTTCTATCAATCCCTCCCTCCCTCTCCCATTGCCTTCATCTCTCCCTCTCCTCTTCCTTCCTTCCTTCCTTTCTTTCTTCCTTCCCTCTATCAATCCCTCCCTCCCCCATTGCTTTCATCTCGCCATCTCTCCTTCCTTCCTTCCTTCCTTCCTTCCTTCCTTCCTTCCTTCCTTCCTTCCTTCCTTCCTTCCTTCTCTCTTCTATCAATCCCTCCCTCCATCACCCATTGCCTTCATCTCCATCTCTCCATCTCTCCATCCTTCCTTCCTTCCCATCCCTCAACCATCCTCCCTCCCTCCCTCCCTCCCTCCCTCCCTCCCTTCCTTCCTTCCTTCCTTCCTTCCTTCCTTCCTTCCTTCCTTCCTTCCTTCCTTCTTTCCTTCCCTCCCTCCTTCTATCAATCCCTCCCTCCCTCTCCCATTGCCTTCATCTCTCCCTCTCCCCTTCCTTCCTTCCTTTCTTTCTTCCTTCCTTCTATCAATCCCTCCCTCCCCCATTGCTTTCATCTCGCCATCTCTCCTTCCTTCCTTCCTTCCTTCCTTCCTTCCTTCCTTCCTTCCTTCCTTCTCTCTTCTATCAATCCCTCCCTCCATCACCCATTGCCTTCATCTCTCCATCTCTCCATCCTTCCTTCCTTCCCATCCCTCAACCATCCTCCCTCCCTCCCTCCCTCCCTCCCTCCCTCCCTCCCTCCCTTCCTTCCTTCCTTCCTTCCTTCCTTCCTTCCTTCCTTCCTTCCTTCCTTCCTTCCTTCCTTCCCTCTTCTATGAATCCTTCCCTCCATCACCCATTGTCTTCATCTCTCCATCTCACTATCCTTCCTTCCTTCCTTCCTTCCTTCCTTCCTTCCTTCCTTCCTTCCTTCCTTCCCGGGAGGCGTGGCCTGCCCGGTTCTTTACGGGCGCGCCCGCCCTGCCTCCCTTTCGCTCCGCTCGGCTCAGAGTGTCTCGGGGGCTCCGGCGGAGGCGCTGCCTGAGCGGCGGAGGCGGGCCCGGGGAGGGCTCGGAGAGGCCGGCGCGCGTGTAATGCGAGCCCTCCCTCCCTCCCTCCCTCCTTCCCTCGCTGGCTCGCCGCAAGTCGCCGCCACTCCGGCTTGCCCGCTGGCCGTGCCTCGTTCGTCCCGGCCAAGGAGCTCTCCCGCCGGCACCTGAAAAAGCGCCCGCGAATCAAGCCCGGATTTCTTTTTCCGCCGGGAAAGCGCGCGTGGCTGGCAGCGCTGGGATTGTGCGGTTCTTGGGACCTGCTTCTCTCGGCGGAGGAGGCGACGACTCCGGGCTGAGTCCGTCAGCGGCGCGGTGAGTCCCGTCCGGGGTTCCTTTCCGTGCCTTGGATAGGGGGGGGGGTCGCGTTTAAACCCCGCGTTCCCGAGGAATAAAAATGTCCCCCCCCCTCCAATCGAGAATGGATTCCTTCTTGAAACAGACTTTTTCCTTTTTTTTTTCCTTTCTTCTTAAAGAATACCGCTCGTTACACCTGCCGCGGACTTCCGCTTTCAGCAGGTCTATCTATCTATCTATCTATCTATCTATCTATCTATCTATCTATCTATCTATCTATCTATCTATCTATCTATCTATCTATCTATCTATCTATCTTCTCTTCCTTCTCTCCTCTCTCTTCTCTCTCCTCTCTCTATCTATCTTCTCTCTCTCCTCTCTCTTCTCTTCCTTCTCTCTCTCTCTATCTTCTCTCTCTCTTCTCTCTTCTCTTCCTTCTCTCTCCTCTCTCTTCTCTTCCTTCTCTCTCTCTTCTCTCTCTCTCTCTTTTCTGTCTCTCTTCTCTCTCTCTCTACCTATTTATCTTCTCTCTCTCTCCTCTCTCTATCTTCTTTCTGTCCTCTCTCTCCTCTCTCTTCTCTTCCTTCTCTCTCTCTTCTCTCTCTCTCTATTTTTTCTCTCTCCTTTCCTATCTATTTATCTTCTATCTCTCTCTCCTCTCTCTTTCTATCTTCTTTCTGTCCTCTCTCTCCTCTTCCTTCTCTCTCTCTTCTCTCTCTTTTCTGTCTCTCCTCTCTCTCTCTCTACTTATTTATCTTCTCTCTCTCTCTCTCTCTCTCTCTCTCACACACACACTCACTTTATCTCTTTCTCCCTCTCTCTCTTTTTCCCTCTCTCTTCCTCCCTCTCTCTTCCTCCCTCTTCCTCCCTCCCTCCCTCCCTCTCTCTCTTTCTCTCTCTCTCTCTCTCAAGTATGCAGTATATTTTTTTAAAAAAATCAATTCTCCAACTTTTCCGAAGAGCGTCTCTTTTCTAAGGCGCGTTGGCGCGTTCAGAGTCCGGATTCTCCCTTAGCAAGGAAGGAAGGAACCCCCGGCTCTTCAGCGTCGCTCTTCCGAGCCGGGGGGGGGGGGGGAGAGAGAGATGGTGCCGCGTTCAGACAGCCGAGCTTATTTTCCTGCCCAGGTTTTTGAAGGGAAGGCGCGGGTCTGATTTTTTATTTTAAAAGACGATCAGGCTTGGAGAATGGAAGAGGGAAGGTTTGCTGGGCGCGCAAGGAGAAAAAAAAAAGAGAGAGAGATAATTGTTCTAAAACGCCTTCATTGCTTTTCCGGGTCCACGTGGCGCTTGGGGGGGGATGGGGGCTTGAAAATAATAACACGGGCTTGCACGTGGAAGTCTGACCCGGTGCGGGTGTCCTTGGTGGTGGTGGTGGTGGTGGGGGAATGTGCCACAAATCTCGCACCTGAAGAATAGCTTTTTTTTTTTTTTTTTTTTTAAAAAAATCTGTCTTAAGTAGATTCGCTTCTTGGAAAAGCGAAGACAGGAGCGGCTTTGAATTTCGCCAAGTAACTCAAGTTTCGCCAGGTCTTCGGTTTCTCAAAAAGGAAGACCCTTTGGATTTTAACTTAAGCACAGAGCAGAACAGAATAACGGAGTTGGAAGGGACCTTGGAGGTCATCTAGTCCAACCCCCTGCTTTGGAGAATTTAACTAAACCAGACTGGGGGACCCTTCTCAGATTTGGACGAACAACAATAACAACAACAATAATAAAAAAAAGTTGAAAGGGACCTTGGAGGTCATCGAGTCCAACCCCCTGATCAGGCAGGAAACCCTACACCATTTCAGACAAATGGCTGTCCAGTCTCTTCTTAAAAACTTCCAGTGTTGGAGCATTCACCGCTTCTGAAGGCAGGTTGTTCCACTGGCTAATTGTTTTAACTGTCAGGAAGTTTCTCCTTAGTTCCAGGTTGCTTCTCTCCTTGATTAGTTTCCATCTGTTGCTTCTTGTCCTGCCTTCCGGTGCTTTGGAGAATAGCTTGACTCCCTCTTCTTTGGGGCAGCCCCTGAGATATTGGAACACTGGTATCTTTATCACCCTTAGTCCTATGAATCCATGATAATTGAATAGAATAGAATCTTGGAATCTATGAGAGGTCTATCAAGAATAATTTCCCATCAAGGGTTCTTATGCTAATGTTATACATACAATTGGCAAATCCCTCCTTATTTTGCAAGAGACTTTTCTTGCCTTAATCAAACTGTTCCACTGACTGGTAGTTCTCACTGTTAGGAAAAAAATCTCCTTAATTCCAGGTGGCTTCTCTCCTTAATTAGTTTCCATCCATTGCTTCTTGCCCTGCCTTCAGGTGCTTTGGAGAATAGATAGACCCTCCCCCTTCTTTGTGGCAGCCCCTCAATTATTGGAACATTTTAAAAAAATGTTTGGATATTTTTTTTAAAAAAAATACGTTTATATACAGGTGTAAGAGGCTTTGGGGACAGGGGAAGGGGATACCTATTTATCTTATGGGTTGTTTAAAAGAATCAAAGGGGATTTGATTGGCAGGGGAGAGGCAACCCCCTCAGGGTCAATCTAAGAGTCAGAGGAAATAATTGAAAGGCAAACTGATGTTTCTAGTCCTGTGGAGTTGAGGAAATGCAAGAATGTCAGGCTGTGATTCTCTTTCCGAATAAAACTCCGTTGCAACATTCTGATTCATTCTCTTCCTGTTGTATTGAACAACTGCATTGTATAGCGGTGGAATACAAATCCGCGAATGGACTTTTTGGATCTAACTGAATGTTGATAGCATGTCTTCCCTTGCAAAGAAGCTTCAATCAGAATAAAGCTGGAAGGGACCTTGGAGGTCTTCTAGTCTAGAGCCCACCCCCAATCTTTTAGGCACCAGGGACCAGTTCTATAGAGAGAGGTTTTTCCATGGACCGGAGGGGGTGTGGTTTCGTGTGTTGCCCGCATCCCATGGATGGGGCTTTGCTTGTTTGCACGGCCTGGTTTCTGGCACGCCCTGGGTTGGGGACCTCTGTTCTAGTCCAACTCCCTTGCTCAAGCAGTAGACCTTATACCGTGAGGTTGAAGGTTCGTTCTCTGAGCTTGTGGCTTGGTTTCCAAACGTTTTGTTACCTGGCTAGGTAACATCATCATCATTATCATCATCATCATCATCATCATCATCATAGTAATGGTAATAGTAATAATAGTAATAGTAATAATAATAATAACATTGGCATTGACAAATTCGCTATTAGTCAATTGCAAAAGGCGGCCTTACTAGGAACTGCTTCCATCCTGCGACGATACCTGTAATACCATCAAACATCCACATCTGCCTATCCCAGGTCCTGGGTAAGGACTCGATAGGTAGACAAAATGCCAAATCCAGTCTGAACATCTGGCTGTCTGTGCGATGATCCATAATCATCATCATCATCATCATCATCATTATCATGTTGGAAGGGACCTTGGAGGTCATCTAATCCAACCCCCTGCTCAGGCAGGAAACCCTATACAATTTCAGACAAATGGCTGTCCAGTCTCTTCTTTAAAACTTCCAGTGTTGGAGCATTCACTGCTTCTGGAGGCAGGTTGTTCCACTGGTTAATTGTTCTAACTATCAGGAACTTTCTCCTTAGTTCTAGGTTGCTTCTCTCCTTGATTAGTTTCCCTCTGTTGCTTCTTGTCCTGCCTTCAGGCGCTTTGGAGAATAGCTTGACTCCCTCTTCTTTGGGGCAGCCCCTGAGGTATTGGAAGACAGCTATCATGTCCCACCTTGTCCTTCTCTTCATTAAACTAGACATACCCAATTCCAGCAGCCATTCCTTTAGCCTCCAATCCCCTGATCATCTTTGTTGCTCTTCTCTGCACTCTTTCTAGAATCTCAACATCTTTTTTACATGGTGGTGACCAAAACTGGATTCAGTATTCCAAGTGTGGCCTTACCAAGGCCTTGTAAAATAGTATTAATACTTCATGTGATCTTGATTCTATCCCTTCTTCAGCAATAAACGTCCAGCTCTATTCCCCCAGCTACAGATATTTGCAAACTATTGCAAACCTTATACAATTTTGGACAAATGGCTGTCCAGTCTCTTCTTAAGAACTTCCAGTGATGGAGGACCCACGACTTCTGGAGGCAGGTTGTTCCACTGGCTAATTGTCCTCCCTGTTAGGAAAGTTCTCCTTAATTCCAGGTTGCTTCTCTCCTTGGTAAGTTTCCATCCAGGATTGTGAGGAAGGGATCCCTATCACTGGCTAGGAGTTGGGTAAACTAGGAACAGTGAAGGGCTGAATTGAGCATTCTGCACTCTGGGAAGAAAATACAGGTATTTCTCAACTTACAACCCTTCACTTGTTCAAAGTGACAACAGCACTATAAAAAAGTGACTTCCACACTTAGCACCGTCGCAGCATCCTCCATGGTCACGTGATCAAAATTCGGACATTTGGCAACTGGCATGTACTTATGACAGTTGCAGTGTCCCAGGGAGTCACGTGATCCCCTTTGCAACCTTCTGTCCAGCAAAGTCAATGGGGAAGCCAGATTCACAACTAAACAACGGTGTCACTCACTTAACAACTGCAATAATTCACAACAACTGCGGCAGGAAAGGTCAGAAAATAGGCAAAACACACTTAACAGCGGTCTCACGTACGAATGGTGCTGATAGAAGAGAATATTTGTAGCTCTGTGTTGAGCTGTGTGGGGTCCTTGGTGCTCTCTCTGAGGTTGGCTTATGTTCTTGCAGACATTTCACGACCCAACTGGCTAACATCATCAGCGCTAGGAGGCAGTGGGGCGTATGGAATGGAGGAGGAAGGGAAGGAGAAAAGGAGGACGAGGAAGAGGACTGTGGGGTCCTTGGTGCTCTCTCTGAGCTTGGTTGTTTTCTTGCAGACCTTTCATGACCCAACTAGGTAACATCATCAATACTAGAAGGGAGAGGAGTTTGTGGAATAGAGGAAAAGGAGAAGGGGAGGAGGAGGAGGAGGAGGAAGAGGAGGAGGAGGAGGAGGAGACTTTGGTGCTGTCTGAGCTTGGTGATTTTCTTGCAGAC